GCTAAACACTTTGTTATCATTTTGCCCATTTTTACTAGGAATAAAATAACCCTCTACAGGGTTAGAAGTTTTTCATCTTAAGCTGGAATCTGACTGGTGAACATTTTTCGGCTGCTTGTCAATGTTTGCTCTAATTTTATCATTCTTTTGTTTCAATTTCATCTCAGACTTTGCGAAGCTTATATAACCTAAGCATAAGTTCGTTGTCTTTCATGGCCAAAATCCTCCTCCCCCACCCCTACCTTCTTCACCATACCTGTGTCTGTATTCTCAACAAATCCTCCCCCTCCCACCCCTACCGCCTTCCCCATACCTGTGTCTGTATTCTCAACAAATCCTCCCCGCCTCCACCCCACACCCTCATCCTCACCCCAAACCCCACCACCCCTGTCTATTTTTAGAAGGGTTCTCGTGTGTCCTTGAACAACCAGCGCAACAACCTCCGACCCGGAAGCCATAAGGCGAAGAAGGCCCTGGGCAGTCAGTTCCTCAACACGGGAGACAAGCTGGCGTCCGCCATCAACGGCGAGAGTCTCATGGTGCCCGAGGTGGGAGCCAAGCCCTCACTCGGCAATGGGAGCAGCTCGAAGAAAAAGCAGCAGGTGGCACCAGAGTCGCCCAACGAAACAAATGTGGAGGTCAAGATAGAGGTCAGTTCCGACGTTTGTGTCATGACATTGTGGAGTTAGGCGCTCATCGAAGTGTTTATGATTGAAGGAGGTTGGGTCTTCTGGTTTCAGAGGTAAAATGAGTAAGAAAATGGCCGCCAAAGTTTGGTGACTGCCAGAGCTGGATCGTCCCCGAAAACTGTAAAATTAAATTTTTTGTGTATTTGATTAACGTCTTTTTTTGTCATTTCCACCCCCTGAAATCTGTTTTTAAATGGACATAAAAGTTGTTTAGTCAAAAAAGAAAAAAATTGATAAAAATTGAAAAATGAACAGTAAAACGCCAGTTTCTTCCATTTTATTATTTTGACGAACGCCTGATTTGATCACACTGCCTCACATTCAATAGTTTCTTACAGTCTTCATTTAATAATAATAAATAGCTTTTGTACAGCGCATGTCCCTGCTTAAGCTCTATGCGCTTTACAATCTACATTATTAACCCAGCTGACCTTGGAACACACTGGGAACATTCTCGGCTTCCTGGGAAGCATATTGTGCAAGCAGTCGATTAAGCGCTCAAACACTAACAAGCTGACAATATCTTTCACCATCTATAGCTGGGGAACTATTTACTCAAGAGTGAAGTGAAGAAAATTCAGGTAAAGTGACTTTACCAAGGACACAACACCAGGCCCCTGACAAGATTTGAACTAAAAACCTTTCAGTTGTGAGCCCTTCCCGCTTGTTTTTCAAGATTGCGAGTCAAATGGTTTGTATTTTGCCATATTGGTAGCTTATGTCACTCCATTGAGGAAAAATCTGGCTGGTCCTGACTTAATTTGATTGAATGCAATCTGCAGTGTGCACTGGGTATAAGGTTATCAGAGAGGCTTTACCTTCAAACTGAATGTCCCTCTCTGATTTGACCTTGTGCCAACTGTGGAGATAAACCTAAAAAACCCCTTATCTTCTTGGACAACAAGGTTGGACTGATGGGGTTTTGGTTTGGAATTACAACCCTTGTAGTAGAGCTGGGCCAAGAATCGATTGCGGAACCGACTCATACGATTAATGCTACGGATGAAAAGTTCCCACTCCTTTTTATGTAAACCAACGGTTACCAGTTTTTTAATAATTAAAATCTTCTTCTTTTCGTTTTTAGAACTTATTTAAAAAAAAAAAAAAGTTGATGCTTGGTAGTGTTCCGAAATCAAGGTTATCCTAAATCCTGAAGATGTTCGGAGCCAACCAGGTAACCAACGAAAGAAATCCCATCATAAGAAAGTAAGTAATTGGGTTCAGATTTGATTCCTACGATTCCTAGCTTTCAATAACCTGGAACCTCGCCGCCCAGCATTACCTTGCAGAGACCCAACTAGATTTTGTTTCTGTTTCTTTCTGACAGAGAGTAACCATAAGTGAAACGGTTATTTGTAAATCCTCAGCAAGCTGTTCAAGCCCAAAGAGCACAATTTTTCAGGCGAGAGAAAAAACTTTTGTTTTCCTTTTTGAAAAATTTATGTCCATTTTGTATCTTTTTTCTCTTTCTTTTCAATATTTAGAATTTGATTTTGGACATAACATTTCTAGAGCACATGCATGCAACGATGGGGCCTGCTACAGTTAAAAACTGCCGTACAAGGAAATTTCATATTTTGGGGCTAAGTTCATCTGAGTAGTTGGCCGACAAAATGTTTCGCACATCATAACTATTTTTAGCAACAAAATATAACTTTTATTTTCAGATTTGTTACATACTTGGCACTTCTTTCCTCACTCAGGTAAACCAAACACCTGCTTCTGTTCTCGGGTCCACACAGGCATTCAATCATGTTTGTACGTCATTGTATGCACCTCCTGGTTGTATATTATCAGCAGTAACAGTTGTCAGTCTTTCCCAAAGAGGTTATAAATATTTCTATTAACCTCTTTGATCTTCCCTCACCAAAGATTCTTTAATTACTAGTGAAGAATCTTTGCCCTCACTACAGACCATTGACCTTCGTAAGCTATTATGTTGCATTGGTGTGCAGTTTGTGCTTGGTCATGGTGGCAGGCATTGTGGTAGGTATTAAAGCTCCGCTCCATACATTTCTTTGCGAGAGATGTGTTTTGTACTGTATAGGTCTATGTTTTATGTCTTTTCATATTTTAAAGCACTTTTTCCTCCCTACAGACCATAGACCTTCATTAATTTTTGTTTTCTATTGGTGGACAATTTCTGCACTGTCATGTTGGTATAGACATTGTGGTAGGCACTGGTCCTTCACTACGGACCACAGAGTTTATGCTGTGTTTGTGAACAATTTGCATCCTATCAAGATGTCCATTTTTTCCTGCCTTGTAAATGTATTTGGAACTGGATAGGTCGATGTTTTATGTTCTTCCTCGATGGTAGGCACGAATCCCTCACTACAGACCACAGACTTTAGCATTTGTGCAGTATTGGTGGACAATTTGTGCCCTGTATGATGGTAGGCACAACATAAGTTCCATCCCAAGAGGTGTTAGTTCTTTAGTTTTAGTGGAGGTTTTACGGCACTCGCAACTGCATAAGGTCATATGAGCGCCAGAAGATTAGAGGTGTTACAAGAGAGTAACAAACATAAAAAAGAAATAGGGGAGATAAGGACGATAGATGTTTCATAGGAAAGAAGAAGCAAACCACACCAGAGCACCCGCCAACCACCCACCCCAAGAGATGTGTTTCACACTGTTTTGGATGTGTATTCTATGTGCTGCCTGTGATGGCATGCACTCTATAATACGAGCATTCTTTGTCAAGAGATGTGTTTTGTATAATTTTCTTCTTGTGTTTCATGTCGTTTTTGATAGAAGGCAGCATTCCTTCACAGCAGACTTTAGATCTGACTGATTTATGCAGAGTCAGAGGACAGTTTTGTGTTGTTTCATGTTTGTCAGCAAGGTATATATTGTGTCTCAAGAGATGTGCTTGGCACTGGTTAGATCTATATTTTATATCCTTTTATATTTTTAAACATTTTTTTCCTCATCTCCTCACCACAGACCATCAACCATCGTTTTGGTGGACCATCTGTGTGCTGTCATTTATACTGGATAGGTCTATGTTTTATGTTCTTTCACGATGGTAGGGGCTGTGCCCTCACTACTATAGCCTATAGACTGATGGACAATTTGTGTCCTATCATGTTGTCTATTTTTTCCATCCTAATAGATGTTTTTTCTACTGGATAGGTCTATGTTTTATGTTCTTTCACGATGGTAGGGGCTGTGCCCTCACTACTATAGCCTATAGACTGATGGACAATTTGTGTCCTGTCATGATGGTCATAATCCTCAATGCCTTTTCTCACCCTGGATCTACCCCCTGGGCAGTACTACTGACTGAAGTGTCTTTAGGCCATTCCCAAATGGGGGACATTAATATGTTCTTGTGCTCAGTAGAATTGTAAATGGGCTGATTCCTCAATGTCATGCTCATAACTGTGCCTGAACTGCAAAGGTGAACTGCTGCTTTTTGTTTCGTAATCCTTACTGTTGTCATTTTTCCTCTACTTCTTTTATATGTTTGTCATACACTTGTGACACGCTATTTCCAGAGTGCCTTGATAGTAGAAGCAGAATTTGTGCTGTTGAAGCTAGAGAGGAGAGCTGCAGAGTAAGCTTGATCCCCTGTAAGGACGTCTCTGTTCACATCTACCCCTTGGCGCTCATATGACCTTATGCAGTTGCGAGCGCCGTAAAACCCCTACTAAAACTAAACTAAAACTAGTACAGACAATAGACATTAATGTTTGTGCAGTACAAGTGGACATTTTGTGTCCTATTATGTTGGTCTTCATCCTCAATGCGTTTTTTTCACCCTGGATCAGGATATAAGCCACAAACACTTTCCACCCTTCCCTATCCTGGGCTAGCCTCATGATGTTATTCCTTGTCTTCCCAATTTTCTGTACCTCAATTTCTGTGACTCTCCTTCAGGTTCCACTTACTCTTCCTCTTGCTGGATCTTTTACCCTACTCAGTTTAAGACTGTCATATATCAGTGGGTGGTTTG